TTTATCTTATAAAAAGTGTTGACAAGATCCTTTGACAGTTTCTCTACACACTAAAAACAAAGGTATTGGTCAATTTGGAGAATGAAAAAAAGCACCCCAAATTCTCCTTTTTTTTTTTTTGGCTGAGCATTGCTACTGAAGCCTCGTCTAAGCTGGTACCCTAACAACCTGAAGGAAGGTGCTCCAAGGTAGGTAACATTTCCTACAGGAACAGGGGGAATAAAGGTAAAATTGAACAATCACATGCAGATCTTTTGAACATTAGTATATAGCCAAAATAAAGTAAAAAACAAAACACGATCACAAAAAAAAAAAATCAACTTTCACTTATCATTATAGTTCATGGGATAAAAGGAAATACTATCTTTGAACAGCTCCCCCAAGGATTATTTTAAGCTAATATATAATAGGCACACACAAAGTGAGGAAAAAGAGACATATGTTTTACAAAAATTTAAGCTCAAAAAACTATCTTTAGTGACGAAGTTATTAAAATGTGCTTGCACTCTTTTTATTTGTACAGGAAGGTTTAAAAAGAAACTCTTGAGAAATGGAAGATCATCAGATTACTAATCACTCCAGTTTCCTGAACAATTAAAGGAATTCATAAGATTAAAAGCTACTCAGGAAATGACAAATATTTCTGGTTTTTAAGGAAGGACTAAAAGGACACTTTTATCTACAGCAGGTTTTTCCGTAAAAGACCCTGTTGGGTAATGAAGCTATGCTTATGAATACTCCAATTCTTTCAAGACTATGCAATTTGGTAATCTGAAAACACAGAAAATTTAGCATTACCCACTTGAAAATAAGACTTTTGTGTTAAAGGCATTTGTCAGTTTCCTTTTTATCTATTGAAGTTGAAGCTCAGTGCACAATTTCTATCACACAAAACTTTTGTTTCTAATACGTCAGCATATATGTCCTTTAAGTTACCTAGTCTAATTCTTCACAAATATACTTTGTAAGATTGTCGTCAATGCATCATCTTAACATTGTTTGGCCTGATAACATTCTGTGTGCAATGCTCCTGTTTGGAGAAATCTGGTTTAATAACTGATTCAATAAACTGTTGACAAATGATTCATATAATAAAGTGTGGCCAGCGAGCAAGGTTTTTCTCTGCCATTATGCACTGCATCAGACCCATCCACAAATGTTGTCATGCTTCTCTTATGTCGGAGCTCCTTGTGCCATTCTGAATAGCAATTTGAAGATCAATACACTGTCTGCTGAACACAACAGGACAGAACAAATGAATAATTTTATTTATAATAAAAGCCCCAGTCCCCAAATGGATTCCACTAATGCTCAAATTCATGTTTCATGCTCAATTCAAAGACGAGAGGCAGAGAGTGCATAAGACAAGGAGAGGGAATGGAAAGAGGTATTAACCATATTGCTTCAAAGTTATTTAGGCCACGAACAATAGCTGGGCTGCAGTGAGTTACCTGAATAAAAATGCAATCTATAGAATGCTTCTGTTCACTTACTGTTCAATCTACAGAATGATTCTGAAAAATCATTTCACAGAAACAAAATAAAATTAACGTACTAAGGATATTATGATACATTCTTCTTGTACCATGGAGGCCAGAAGTTATTCAATTGTCTTTAAACACTGGAAAAACAAAGTTGTTTGCTTTAGGATAAGACAAGGAGGCATTGAAAGGACTCTTTAGAGAATGAAGCAAATAGCTTTGCTTCAAAAACGTGTTTGGTACCTGAATGACAGTTCCCCTCCTCCTCGGAAAGACATGAAAAAGTCAGTAAGCAAAGTCACAAGAAAAAAGGATTAGAGGTAGAGGAGCAAAATGTTAGATAGGACAGGAGTTCAAAGATGACATTTACAAGTGGCACATTCCTCAAAAGACACCTGAATATTTTTTTCAAAAGAAATCATTGAAAACCAAAAATACAGACTCCCAGTTTACTCTAAAATGTCAGTATGCTGTTCTTAAAATGCAGAGTAATCTACTGATACAGTCACTAGCCAAAAAAATAAGATAAATGATCTTTTACTACCAATTGGTTATGTTTAGCCTAATTTACTAGTTTAATAGTTTTAGTTAACTAGTTCTGGTTAAAATGAAAAGTAGTTATCAGCCTATTTATGATACAGAAGCCTAAAAAGGGTTTTCACTGGAAGATGAAGGTCAAGTTGGGAAAAGACTATGGATAATATACTAAAGAATCTGAAATAAAAGGGTGACACTTTCTTGTATTTTGTGTATGGAGACACTGAACAGGCAAAGTTTCAGTCACTCATTGTTGTTTCCTTCCATTAATTGAAGGGATCCATCTGCTTCTGACATTAGTGATCTCACTTCAAATTCACTCAACACAATAGAAACCGGGAAGCTAAGAAGATAAAAAGATGTGCAGGCACAGGTCCTCTCCCTCGACTCTCCCAGGAAGCAATGACTCAGTTCAGAGATTATCAGAAAGGCATGAAGTTTTGACAGGAGGCCGACTGGGATAAGTATTTGGCATGGCGCCTGGAATGGAGTAGGGGCTCAGTAATAAACTGTTAAATGAATCAACAAGTGCATCAGGAACCGAGTGTCACAAAAAGGACAGAATCTTTTCCCTTAATAATGTGAGGCATTTTACTGAAATGAAAAAGGTAGGGTGAGAATAATCTCAAGGTGAAGAGAATTGTGGCAAGAGTCTGATTAAAGGAAATTAAATGCCTAAGAGCTGGGGAGGGGCTGGGGAGTTGAGTTTATTTGGGGACCCTACCCAGCAATAGTCAGGGCTGAGTCCTAGCTCTGTGCTCAGGAATCACTCCTGGTGGGTTGCAGAAGTCTAGACACAAGGAGATAAATAAAGTAAGATGATCCACACAGGACTGGACTACATCAGACAATACAATCCCCAGAAAAGATTAAAGTCCACTGCAGACATTTTTGCCACTTATTTTGTGAAATGCTAGAGGGTCGAATTATCTACATCTTCAATTCCTAAATCGCTTGGGGGAAATATTATCTTTCTGTAAGAGTGGGAGTAAAATGAGTAAAATTTTACTTATAAAATTCTTCTCACAGTTCTTCTCGTCTAGCAGAATTTACAAAATGCAAAGTAGAATATTTACAGAATCATCACCTCTTAGCAAACTGGTCCTGAACCCTTTTAAACACCATAGATGTGAAATACCACTAAGAAGCGTGTACATGATGATAAAAATGTTCTGACTGTTCTCTTCCTAAGCTAGAATCAGCCTCTTTTATCCTTCAAAAAAAATTATGTATTTTAATAAAATGTTACCCATGTCCATGGTATTGATCAAAGTTATAGCAACTGACCAACTCATTTCTAAAAGGTTGATTCTGGTGTTATTTGAAACTAATCACCATTCACTTTTCATTAATAGATAATTACCTAGAAGCAAACATCAACCCGTCTTCAAATCTGTATACAACTTTATCTTACATATTACAGTTCGATATATGGTTAAAAAGACCATAAAATTTTAGTTTCTCATTATGAAGAAAAAAATTCAGTCTATTGTTAACCATTAACAAAACAGAGCATCTTTACAGTCTCACATATTCATTTAAGGTTTTAAGGTAGGTTCATCTCTAAATTCATACTTTCAACTAGAGTTCCCAGAATTCTTTGACTAAAGATAATAAAAGCTGGCGCCCAAAGATAAATGACATTTATATTAATTCTTCTGAAATAATACTCAGACATTTGCTTTAAAAAAAAATCCTCAAAAGACAACTACAAAATCAAATTAAAAAAAATTAAATGCATCTAACCTCTTAAGATGTTAAAGCTCTTTAAAACTCAATATAAAACTGACATACAACTCTGAAATTGTCCTTCTTTTTCAAGGGGAAAAAAATGATAGTTTTTAAATTTAAAAAATCGTATTTAATTAACACCTAGGTGCAAAGAACTTCAATCATAAAAATCACAATTATTTTTTGATGATTTTTATTTGTGTACTTTTCCTCAATGAAAAATGGTTCAATGACCATGAGAGAGTCTTACAAAATTCTCAAGCATTTCAGAAATTTCCACTGGAAAAACTGTAAATCTGAAAAAAAGTCTTGATACATTTGTGAATTCAGAATTATTGAAAATTTTTAGAGAAAGTAAAATAATTCTCACTGTGGAAAATGCTCATTGCCTTAAAACTTGAATTTACCTTAACATATAAATTTATATATATTTTTGTCCTTGCCACCACATATTAAATTACGTGAGAAAAAGAATCAGTACAAGATTCACATGCACACAGTCCCAAGTGATACTTTCAATAGCATAAAAATAACTCTCCAAAGAATTTCTTTAATTCCTGCTTCTCCCACTTTAAAGAATAAAGCTCCTATTGAATTCATAAGGAGGAAAGACTACAGCTAAATGATCACAGAGGTAAAACAACTCTACCATCAATGACACTAGGCAATGATTTGGAAGTTGATATGTTATCCAAAAGAAAACTGCTACTTCAGATAGTATAATATAAAAAAAACAGTAAACTTATTTATTCTATGAATTTTTAACAGTTTAAATGATTTCCAAAGAGATAAAGAAACCACATCAGTCTCAAATGTACTTTAACTCCTCACATACTAAAAATATTTTGCATCAAAAAAGTACCATACAGTCTTTGTGTTACTATTAAAATTAACAATGGATCACTGAAAATAAAGTGCAGCATATGTATTTACAGATTACCATTTTAGAAGCACCTATTTATTTACACAGTTATAATAATAGAAAGGTCAGTGAAAAATCACCTCTGAAGACATGGTTGCTAAGCAACTCTTTTCCAGAAGTTCTGCAACACTGATCAAGCACATTATTGATGCCACCAACTGGATTCAGCATAAATATGCGTAGTATCTTACCTGGTTTCTCCAGAACGAAAATGAGGTGGAGTCCTTGCTTACCTTTGTGGGCAGATATTAGAGGGCAAACCTGATTCATTTGTCAGATTCAGAAGCTGTTAATTTTCCTCCTTTTTTAAAAAAAAATAAAAAGGATACGTCCTGGTACAACAGGTTTCCTGTTCACAAGGGCAAAGGACAGTTCTGTTTTAAGGAACACCACAGAGGGCTTGATGAGATGTTGGCCAAATCTGAAGGACATCTTCTCACCGATGAAGTCTGAAAGAGAAGACAATATAAGAAATGAAGTATTTATTTATTTAGTTCAAATAAACTCAGTTCACCATCACAATGTTTACTATAACATTATTTATAATAGCTAAAATATGGAAGTAGTCAAATTGCCCATTTACAGACAAATGGATTAGAAAGGTATAGTGCAATTAAAAAAGAAAGGTGAAATCTTGCCATTCACAACAAAATGATAGGCATTCAAGGGAATAATGCAAAAGGACATTAAGTCAGAAGAAAAATGACAAATACTGATTTTCATTTTGGGGATTTTTTTCTACCCATTTGAACAATAGGATACAAAAGTGATGAACAGATGAAAAATATAAGGACAAACCAATGGACACTGACAACACAACTATGGTTATCCAAGAAGAGAATTTGGAGGAAGGGAAAGGGGAAGAGTTAAAACACACACACACACACACACACACACACACACACACACACACACACGAATTCACAAGATATACCACCTGAATTGCATTATTACAAATTCTAAGTTGTAGATATCATACCACTAAAGTTGTTGCCATTCAATGCCCACTAAGGTATTCTGGATAGATCTTCCTAAAATATTCCACTCTCATTATTTGCCTAACGTTGACAAGAGATAGGGTTTTCATGCACAAGTATCAAGTGTTCAACAAAACTGTCACTGTCACTGTCCTCCCATTGTTCATCGATTTGCTCAAGCGAGCCCAGTAACATTGTGAGACTTGTTACTGTGTTTGGCATATCAAATACGTCACAGGCAGCTTTCCAGGCTTTGCTGTGCGGGCGAGATACTCTCGGTAGCTTGCTGGGCTCTCTGAGCGGGGCCGAGGAATTGAATTTGGGTTGGTCGTGTTGGCCGCATGCAAGGCAAACGCCCTACCGACTGAGTTATCACTCCAGCTCTCCCTTCACATTACCACTTTAAGCCAAATCCAGTATGTTCTATCTGTCAAGTACTTCTTTATTTGTTTCCATTTCAGCTCATTGTCTTTGCCAAACTGGGCATTTTCATTGCTAAGAATTAACAATAAACTCTTAACCTCTTTGATGTTCTTCTCAAAAGGTTTTATGTTTATATAGGAGCAATTTGGGGAAAATATAAACACTGTTTGACCTTGTCTACAGTTACAATAATGTATGAACACTCCAGAGAACTATAATAGAAGGACGGGGCATATGCTTAGCTAAAAGGCCTCCAGTTTTAATCCCTGACACTAAATGGCCTCCCATGAACAGCCAAGAAGGATCTCTGGACACAAAGCCAGGAATATACCTAAAACCTCCAAAAGAAAAGAAGCGAGATAATTTTATAGAAAAATTTCCAAATTTTTTTGGAAGCTATATTTGGTGGCCTCAGAGATTATACCTGGTGCAGGAGTCCTGCCTGTCAGTGCTCAGAGAACTATATGTAGTGAATAGAACAAATAGGAGTAAGCTTCAGCGGCATATAATAGGCAACTACTTAAATGCCTATACATTTTACCCAAAATTAAAGAGAAAGAAATGAGAAAAATAGATAAATTAGAATTCAAAGTAGGAACACCGTTGACACAGTGAATAAGGGGTAGAAAGTTCATATGTGAAATGTTTCACAGTCCCTTAAGCTATAAAAAGTTTAATATTTCACACAAGGTAATTATGATGAGACCAATTCACCCACCACAAAGATTGACTTCCCATAACTCTAATGACTTGAGTTCCAATCTGAATGACTTGAAATATCTTATTTGGGAAATCAACTATTTCATTTCTCCTCATTCAGGAACTATCCCACAATAAAACTACAGGAAATGATCAACTGTAAAAAAAATAGGAAAAAAGACGAGAGACAAAGAGAAAAACATTGACTATCTTGATACAGAATGATCTCATATATGGGACTTAAAGATACACAAAAAGATAGCATCAAGGGGCCAAATGCAACACAACAAGAGAACTGATTCACAAAAATGAGTTTGGGGTGGGGGTCAAGCAAGGAGCATTGAGATCATTGGGGGGACAGAGTTGGATGCACTGGTGATAGGTGTGATGTTAGACTCTAGTACATGGGAAATTATCACAAAAAATATTCTAAATCACAGCACTCCAATCAATAAAAACTTAAAAATCATCAGCTACCTCATAACAGTGAGTACAGAATTAGTCCAATGTTTTTAATGACCATAAATGCCATCTATTACAGAACCATCAACAGAGCCACAACTTAACAGAAGTCAGATACAAAGATCTGTTAGCACAAAAATTTACCTCAATGATACAAAATTTCAGAACTTTTGGAACTATTTCATTTAAAAAGAGACTTGTCTAGAATATTCCAAATCATCTAATCATGTAGAGTCTCAAGGTGTATCCCTTGAACCAGTAGCATCTGCTGCATCTAGGATGTTGGAAAATGCAAATTTGTGTTCTATCTCCAGACCTACTGAATTATCAAGAAGGTGTGTCAGCAGTCTTTGTTTTAATAAGCCATCCAGGTAATTCAGAACAATTGATTAAATGCAATCTTGTTCCCAGTACTCGGACCCTTCACTCCAGAATCCGTGCCTTGTAGTTGGCTAGCCGATGCTTAAATGTGCCAAGGGTAAAAAGTTCACACTAGTCCTAAGACACTCAACTCCAGCAATTTCATAGTTGGCCTTTGTCACAACAGGTCTGTTCATTATGGTGGATTTATGCTTTGGAACCATGTCAAACACGTATCATACTAGTGGCAGTGCTTCAGAAATGTAGAGTTAATATTTTCTAGAATATACATGGCAAATCTTTTCAATCATTCTACTAACTGAATTGACTCAAGTCCCCTGAAGTCTTCTGTGGCTTTTTTTTCTCCATTATACCTTCTTTATAGTAACTGTTCATCAAAATCATGAACATTAACCCTATTTAAATATGTTACTTAAATTTGAATAGTATAAAATAAAATTTTTAAAGGTTAAAAAAAAGGATTGGAGAAAAGTTCTTCAGCCCTTAGGGAATGAACTGTGGAACTGTAGTAGGATTGCAATGGAATACAAGGAGAAGGAATGAGCAGTGAAATACATATATTTTAACATATTTAAATAGGGTTAATGTTCATGATTTTGATGAACAGTTACTATATGTCACCAAAGTGCTCAATACCCTCCACCAATGTCTATATGCTACTTCTAACCCATATTATGGTCCCCTACCCCCACCCCCAACAACTTGAACACTTTTCACAAGGAATAATATTGTGAAATATATACATTTCTTTGGATAGTCCTATTAATGTATTTCTGACTGTACTTTGTCTAAAATATCTACACAACCTTGCATATTCCTGAAGCAAAGTGTGTGGATTTTTACGTTCCCACATTTGTTTTAGCACTTGATAGCACCTTATTTCCTAGCATTTACAGATAAGGAAAACACCTAAGTTTGATATTACTTGTCTCCAATGGTATTTATGTGGGTATACTTGCAAAGGATATGTGCCCATATTTCCCTTATCAATTGCCAATTCATACTTTGATCTTTTTTGGACTTTGTTTCTTCTTATTTTCCAGAGACCCTTTCATATTCTAAACATTGATCTTGGACTATTAAATATAACAATTGTAGATTTTTCACCATCACCATTCATAACCTCTACTGAATAAAATTAATGATTTTATATGAATACATAAAATATATACATATGATGTATCTGCAGTTTTTAAATTTGTGCCCAGTGAATTTTTGATTAAAATCTGTAGCATGAATTGACAAAAATATATTGCATTTTTCTATCATCATTTTTTCACTCTATATTTCTAAGTATTTGATCCACTTTGAGCTTTGCTTACAAGCTGAAGTATGTAAATGACTTCATTTTTCTCCTTTTAATGAGCCAATTTTCCCAGCACCAATGGTGGGAATGATTATACCATGTTCTTACATGTACACAGAAATGAGTCTGCACTTTAAAAAAATTGCGTCTAGGCTACAGATAATGTGTAGGGACACCAGTATTGTTTCTGCAAAGGAACAGATTCCGTAAACCATAATGTCTCTATTGTAGTATTTCAGACCATATCATGAAAGTGGTCAAAACACATAAATGAACTGATGTGGCTATGTTCCAATAAAACTTTATTGATAAAAACAGATGGCAAGCTGGCTTTGACTTTGGGCGGGAGTATGCCAACTCTTGCATATATTGGGGCTGGAAAGATAATACAAAGGGTAGGGCAATTGCCTTGCACAAGAATGACCCGGGTTACAGCCCAGGCATCCTATATAGCCCAGTAAAATGGGAGAAGTAACTTCTGGTATGGAGACAGGAGCACCATCAGGTGTGGTCTGAAAACAAAACAACACCAGCCATATAATATTGATGCCTTGTAAAGAGACTCCCTCGTTATTCATTCTCCCAAATTTAAAAAAAATTAAATTTGACTCTACCTCTTCAAAACATTTATTGCTCAGATGTTGATTAAAATTTAAATTCAGTGTAATTCCAATGGGAAAAATATGACATCTTCACAATGTTCAATCAACCCATTTATGAAGGCTGCCTTTATGCTCTATAATGCCATAATAAAACTCTTGTAATAGGGGTTCAAATTTCCCTTATATGTTTTATGCATTCTTAGATTTATTCCTAGATAGCTTTTGGTTTATGTCACTATTACAAATGGTACCTTATTATCATCATAGTTTGTAATTTGTTACTCTCCATAGAGAGTGAAGCTATTGATTTTTATATTTTGCTCTTATAAACTGGCAACATAGCTAAACTCTTACATTCCTAATAGTTCCTGCCAATGCTTCTTGGCTTTCTATATAAAAGATTTGATTTATGAAATAATGACAACTCTCTTATTCCAAATCTTCTACATATGTGGGCTTGTCTTTCTCTACTGACCTTATATTTAGTAATGTTTTGAGAAGTTTGTATTTGGTAATGTGTTGAAAAGTTTAAGTAGCATGCTTTCTTATCCTTCGCAAACTTTGAAGAAATGAGTTCTAAAAGCTATGTTTGTTTTCCT